AAAAACCCATAACCAAATACCACAATGTAATAATTTCTAATACCATTCACCATTACAAACCATCAAGCTTCCATATTAACCAAGTTCCTATTTCCAATTACATCTAAAATTAAAAGGGGGGAATTACTGCCCAGTGGGGGTAGTAGATGAGAACCTCAAATTAGTGGGAGAAGACTGAGATTTACAAAAGTCTTGGACAGTTGCAACGTTATTACCAAAACATGGGAATTTCATATTATAAACAAAACGACATCGTTTTTCCTTTTATTCCCCTTTCTACCCTTTTCACTATTTCCAGAGCTCTCTCTCTCCTCTACTGTAATCTATGTGTCACACTCTCCCGTGCATTTCCCTCGCTTTCCCGTGTCTTTCCTCCCTCCATCTACTCTCTCTCCTTCCATTCGTAACTCTCCTTCGGTGCCCTGACCCTACACTGTCGGCCTCTCTCTCCTTACTCTCCTTCGGTGCTCCAAGCCAACATTTCAAGCCCAAATTAAAGACCACTCTAAATACCTAAACGGCAAATGAAAATCATTGAACCCCTCACATATTATGCATATGTGCTACAGATCATTTTAGGGGGAATTTCAACACTGGAATATAATAACAAAATTTAAAAAAACATGTAGGTGCAAGTGATTCTGTGATGGGTGGAAGTCACCATGTTTGTGTAAAATTAAATTATTATTATTATTTTTTCTGTCTCATTGGGATTTAATTCCCCCATCATTTTAAGGGTAAGATGCACAATAAGGGTGAGGGAAACTGACCAAATGGTCAGATTTTACATTTAAAAAATCCTTACCATGATATTTGATCAACAAAAATAGAGAACATGATGCAACTGTTGTAATTCATAGTTTAAAGGACTGTTTGGAAACTGCAGCTTGGGCTATCAAGCTTATCATTGTTGACAGGCCATCATGTTCATATAACTAGGTCTATGGCAAGTTTTGTTAACGTGTCTACTTAAATGAAAATTCTTACAAGTTTTTTTTAAGACTTATGTTGAAAGCAATTGTGAGGTGACTTTTTGTTCCATACACGATGGCAACAACTCATAAACCAAGAGGAACGTTCAGTATCTTCTTGTAACTACTTGGTGTTTTACTTTTTTGTTCCAAACATGATGCCGAGAACTCACTTTATTTTCTTTTCTTTTCGTGAATATATTAGCTATGAATGGCTCCAACAATGTAAAGGAATTGTGGATGCAATCACTTGCTCATTCCAGGTTTGTTCTCCCCAATTTCTGTAGGAGATCAACCCAAGTTGAGTTGGCTACAGAGATTCTGGCCATGTGAAGGAAAGTAGCAGCCAGCTACATGGTGGGGAAGCCATGTGAGTTGGCCATGAGGCCATGAAGCAATCTGGAAAGCCACCGAAATGGGCTGGCAGCCAGCTCATGAGTTGAGAGTGTGTAATCTCCTCCATTTGTTGATATATAACAACATCGCTCCCGTGGACGTAGGCCGGTTTGCCGAACCACGTTAAAAGTCTTGTGTTTTTTGCTTGTGAGTGTCCCCTGGTGTGCCCACGATCCGCAACAATTGGTATCAGAGCCCGGGTGGAGAAAAATCGAGTTTTTTCCGAAAGTGTCCAGATTTCGAAGTGGTCGAAATCCACTTTTGAGCATACCAGGAGGAAGGTCAGGAGGAGAGGAGTCCAAAACTTCAAACCACAGGCCAATCGGAGCTCTAACGCGCCGCCACGCGCCACCTGAATATCGAGAGTGAAGGCCACTCTCACCCACGCGCCCCACGCGCCGACGAAGGAAGAAGACGAGTGGGGGCGCGCGTGAAGCTGACGTCAGGCTGACGTCATCCTGAGCCGAGCCGAGCCGTCGAGCCGTTGACCGCGCCGCTGACCAGGCCGAGCCGCGCCGGAGCCGCGCCGCCAGCCAAGCCGCGCCGCTGAGCCGCCGTTGACCGCGCCCCTGCGCCGTTGACCGAGCCGCTGACTGCGCCGTTGACCAGCCGATCCGGAGGAATTATCTGGTGCTTCTCAGGCGCACCAGATTCAGCAAATCTGAACCGTTGAAACTGTTTTGGCTAGATCTAGGCCATTCGGAGTCCGTTTTTTGGCGATCCAATAGTGCGTTCCAACTATTTGAAATATTCCGGACCCATCCGTACGGTCAGATTCTTAAATCGGAATTTCTTTAAAAAGGGAAGAAATTTACAATGGCAGGAAAAGGCGCAAGTTTCATGATTGAGCCTTTTAATGGTAGTAATGACTTTACCCTGTGGCAGCAAAGGGTGAAAAACATTTTAACACGAGAAGGTCTGGTGAAAGCTCTTCTCAAAAAGTCCAACAAACCGGAAGACATGAAGGATGACAAGTGGGAGGAGTTGAGGGAATTGGCAAATAGTACAATTCAGTTGTATCTCGGGAACAACACACTCCGGGAAGTCATCAGTGAAGTAGATCCGGCGGAGCTATGGGCAAAGTTAGAGATGAGGTACAAGTTAAAGTCTTTGACAAACCGGTTATCTCTGAAGAGGTAGCTATATACACTTATAATGCCAGAAGGTGCGAACCTCACAGAACATCTGGACGAGTTCAATAGGATCACAATGGAATTGGACACCATTGGAGACAAGACCCAGGAGGAAGATAGGGCTATGATCTTGTTGGTCTCTCTACCTGCATCATATGAGCATCTCAGGACAACTCTATTGTACGGGAAGGATGCTCTTGGACTGGATGCTCTTGGACTGGATGAGGTGATTGCTACGCTCATTTCTCATGAGTCGATGAAGAAACAGGAAGGTAGCAGTAGCAAACACCCAGAAGGAAATGCCATGGTTGCCTCAGAAAATGAGCAAGGCAGAGGTAGGTCCAATGATAGACGGGGTAGATCCAAATCAAGAGGACGTTCGCAATCAAGGTTAGGCTTCAGGAGAAAGTGTTATTACTGTGATCAGGAGGATCACCTCATAAAAGACTGTGCAAAGCTCAAGGAGGACAAGGCACACAAGGAACAGGCGAGCTCATCAAATGTCGCTGCTGCAGTAAATGCTAAGGATGAGTATGCATTTACAGTTTCGTCGAGTATGACGAAACCTGACTGGATCTTAGATTCCGGAAGCACATATCATATATGCATGGATAAGAAACTTTTTTCTACCTACCAAGCCAAGGATGGAGGTATTGTTCGAGTGGCTAACAACACTGTGAGTAAGATTGTTGGCATGGGAACAGTACGGCTGAGAATGGAAGATGGAAAAATTTTCACGTTGGATGGAGTCCGACACGTGCCAAGACTGAAGAAGAATCTAATTTCCTTAAGTATGCTAGACATGAAGGGTTATAGCTTCACATCTAGCAAAGGAAATCTCAAAGTCATCCATGGAGATACGGTGATGCTACATGGACGACTGGAGGGGAATCTGTACAGGCTTGTGGAGAAGGTTGTGACAGACGGAGCTACTGTCACTTACCGGGCAAGACGTACAAGACATGCACAGAAGAGACATAGGGCCCAGCAGACATGGCAACCAAAGTGTACAAGAACGCATGGAGGCAGTTCGGAGGTGCACAAGACGGAGCCATTGCGGCCAATTTTAAAGACAGCTCAGAGCAAAGAGACCAAGACAGCAAAGCATGTCCCAGGGAAGAAAGTTTCTTTTGCTCCTGAATTAGAGACATATTGGGATCTCTCCAAGACTGGATGGAAGGGAGAGATGCCATCTCAAAGAGTTGCAAAGTAAGCTTTGCATGGCACCCCAGTGAGGGGGTGCCCGGCACTCCAGGCAGGGGGTGCTATTATGGATCACCTCATATGGGTTGAGGGGGTGATTTGTAGGAGATCAAACCAAGTTGAGTTGGCTACAGAGATTCTGGCCATGTGAAGGAAAGTAGCAGCCAGCTACATGGTGGGGAAGCCATGTGAGTTGGCCATGAGGCCATGAGGCCATGAAGCAATCTGGAAAGCCATCGAAATGGGCTGGCAGCCAGCTCATTTCAAAGGGTGCGTCTTGCCTTTGTAATCTCTATATATAGAGAAGCTAAAGAGAGTTGAATACAGGGCATCATAGCAAATCAGAGAGTGTGAGAGAGTGTGTTATATAGAGAGACAGTGAGTTGAGAGTGTGTAATCTCCTCCATTTGTTGATATATAACAACATCGCTCCCGTGGACGTAGGCCGGTTTGCCGAACCACGTTAAAAGTCTTGTGTTTTTGCTTGTGAGTGTCCCCTAGTGTGCCCTAGATCCGCAACAATTTCCATATACAATTTGCACACCATACGGGTGCATGGTGGGAGGATATGAGTCGTACTGACAAAGCTCCCTACGAAAATGAAGGCAAATGTCAACAAACACAATATGACGCCACAACACGTACAACAAAAAAGAGTTATCTTGTATGCAAACACCAAGTATCCGTAAATTATATTTCATATAATTTTAGTAACTCCTCGATTGGATTATGTATTTTTTATATATGTATGTTTGCTGTGGATCATGGATGTCCAATATGTGTCTAGTCTGTTGAATGTTTGGCCACAACATAATGCACCTACACCCTAGCATGCTCATTTGAGACCACTAATTTGGCAATTTTGCACCGAGTGAAATGATTTTCATTCAATATGTGTGTAGTCCTTTTCATTTAATATGGTTGGCCTTCACGAGTCATATATGTATCATCAATTTAATGACACAGTACTGTTGCACCGAATGATTAAATGGACTACACATTTTTTTTTTTTTTGGTCCTAGCCATCCGGTATCCGACCCTTCGGGCCGACTAATCCGGATTCGGGGCGTAGTTTTGGATGGTTAGACTCAAAGCCCCTCCCAATTGGTGATGCGGGGAATCGAACCGTAGTCCTTCCTACCAAGTCAAGCTCCAATCGCCACTTGACCACCAACCAATTGGTAATGGACTACACATATATTGAACGATTTTCAGGCATAACATAATGTACCTATATGTCTCATTTTTTATGAAGAGTGTGTTCAATTATCCATTTTTCCATATACATGAAAAAAAAAATTTATTATTACACCCCCAAGTCAGAAAATTGGTAATCAGTGAGTTTCACTTTTGAGTCTCTATTGTTTTCATCAATTTGACTTTAGCCTTTCATCTTTTAATTACAACAATTAAGTAATTAAATTTGAACTCGTGTTTCAATGTGGTCCTCCCATCTCTTAATATAAGACTGTATTAACTTAGTTTAAGAGCAATTGGGCGTCGGGTTGGGGTTGTACGACAAATTATATGTTTCACTAAAATTTCATTTTGATTCCTCATTTGTGAACATATGCTTAAATTTTAAACGGTGAAATTGCATGCATTCCATTTTCTAACATAAAATAGTCATACAATTATTTTACGTGGTTAGATAATTTTCTAACATAAAATAGTTGTTTTCATACACTCGTTCCATTCTACACATTTCTACAAAATTTGGGTTGGTGATTATCTAAGTTCGTTTCAATTACACATTTTAGCCAGCAATCTTGACAAGGTGCTCTCCTCGTAAGCTTTTGAAAGTGAACGCATCACTTAACAATGATCACGAGTTTGCCATTAAGAACATTCACTATGGAGGTCTACTGCACCTGTCTTGATCTGTTGCCACGGGCATCCATGGTGCAAATCTTGGAGCGTTTCAATCTGAAGTCATGCGCTCTCTGGTTGCATTCCGGCGGAGTCCAGACTATCACCCCCTCTGACGTTAGTATGATACTCTGCTTCCGCCATACAGAAATTCTGATGTCAACTGATCCCTCACCCGCTGTGCTTGCTACTCTGAAACGGTAGTTCTATATAGGCAGAGGGGGCATATCATTGACCACACTTGGGGTGATACAGATTGGCCAGCACAACGAGTAGTTCATCATGCTTGCATCTTGTACAACCTTGTTTGTTTTTTGTGCCCTTCAAGCAAGGATGTTGCTGGACCCAAATTGTATGTGGCTTTGGATGACGTTTTCAGGCTTCACGAGTATGATTGGCCCCAATTCATCCTCTACTGGTTGGTGAATGAGGTTAAAAAGTACAAGAATCGTTCCTCCGCCTCACAAACGTCTTTAACTTCAAGTGTTGGTGGCTACCTGTTTTTGTTGATGGTTTGTGCACTCTAAATTGTCATGCATTTTGCTATGGTTTTTCTATTTGTTTGGGTCATATGCTAACAACCATTTGTACATTTAGTAGATAATATCCATACACATAAGGAACACAATACAAGTGAAAATGATAGACATCTAAATCCAGTTCTGTATGAAGAGTAATGCTAAAATTTATAATAAGTTCATCTCTCCTTGTGATACAATTTACCATGTACAATCTTTAAAGGGAAGGCTGCTGATGCAACTGTTGTTGCCGCAAACAATGAGGTTGTTATAGACCAAAATAGTTGCTGCAAAGAATGAGGTTGTTATAGACCAAAATATTTTAATAGTCTGATCTCAAAACACAAACATTTTTTGGACCAAGTTATTTTATCCCTAAAAGTACATTTATTAGTGGCATTTTCAAAATTTTGTCCTTCAAAGCTCTTTTCTTTTTTTTTTTTGGTGCTATTATAAGGCAATTTTCTTCCTAAGAAATGATATTACCTCTCACCCTGCAAAAAATTGACTTCCTAAGAATCTTACAGGATATCTGTAAACAGTAATTGAAGTCCATATTTAGTTTTATGGAATTAAAGAGGTTTCTCATGCTTAGTATTTTGGTAATTGAAGTCCATATTTAGTTTTATGGAATTAAAGAGGTTTCTCATGCTTAGTATTTTGTTATTATAATGTGATGCATGACTGGGTAAAGTATCACCACCAATATGGATGCCAATGAAATGATTCAACAACCCAAATTGAGGTGTCTATGTTTTAGGTGTATATATTTTAATCTATATTTTGTCTATGCTTGAACAACCCGAAGTATCACCATTAATCTGTATTTTCTTCTTTATTTTACTAGATAATATATTTTGAGCATGCTCAGATGGGCATGAACCTTGTTGCCACTAGTGTCAATGGGATTCTGTTGTTGGCCTTCTGGACCATGGAGCATGTGAAGGAGCAATTGGGCCTCGAGGCTAATGAGGTTGCCCACATTCCGTCAGACTTATAGTTGCAGTATACGGTTCATGTTCAATCCCTTACTTTTGAACAATCCAAATTCTACCTCTTTCAAAGTTGTTCCTCAAAATGCATACAGTTCTTTACTTCCTATTGACATCGTTTCTTAATCATTCAATTGCAGGCCACTCAAGGTGTGTACAAAGTGTTTGTTAATGAAACCATTCCACTTCTTTGTCGGGAGCAGATGGAGTATCTTCGTGGCATTGATGCCATTCTGATGGCTGAAGGGTAGCCATCTTCCATTGTTATCCCTCCATATGGACAGACGCCATTTATGCCACAGTGTAGCCAATATGTTCCTTTGAACAGCCCTTCACCATATTCGCCTCTTCATGCAAGCCCCATCAGTCACCACGTCCGTACGCCTCCATCAACAGTCGTACCTATATTCAAGGATCAAATCGTTAGGACTTGAATGTGAACCATTAAAAATTGCTCTAACTGTATGTAGACATCTCATTTTCACTGACCCTACGACTTGGGCATCTTCCCAAGTTTTCCGATGATGAAATTGTTTCAATGTCTTCAATATGAGCCTTGGATGAAGAGTAGACACCTTACCTTAAACCTATTTTGGCCAAAATGTTTTTAAGACCTTTAAAATTATTTCCCAAAATGATTTTTGTAGTTAGAGATGCTAGTGCGCGTAGCTTCCCCTATTGTGCCTTAGTTACTTAGTGTTTGTTTATTTGTTCTACCTTTTGGATTGTATCTAAATAAATTTAAGTTTTGAGTCAACATTGTTTTTTAACTTATGGTAATGGTTCTAATTTTGTAATAATTACTCTTAATTTTTTTATTTTTTATTTTTTTTTATCTTTTTACTCCTGATGTTTCAAATTTTTGGAGTGTTACAATTTAGTACAAGTACCCTTCTATGTTTAGACAACTTTACCTTTGCCTTGTATCTCTCCTCACCATGACTAAGTTGGTTACCTATTTCTTTTGTAGGATATCAAGGTCATTCAAAGGCAACACTCACACGTATGAAGGAGAACTAATGGAGGACAGTGAGGTCGAGTTTGACCCTAATGAGGAACCAGTGAAAATCATTGAAATTGAATCTAACCCATAGGAGAAACCATAAATTGAGTTTGTTCCTGAAGAACTTGTGGAAGAGACAAAGTGTAGAGAAGTTTTGAATATTTTTGGGGGGTTTCCCACTATTTTGGTCGTTGGTCTCTCTATATCTCTCACAAAGCTTCCTTTTCCTCTTTTGGCTATTTACACATCCATCAAAGAGGTAATGTTGCACTAATCCTTGTGCTAACTTAGGTTACTTTTGTATAAGCAATGTACTAATGAATTTCTTATTCAACGAGTTAGATAAGAAGTTTAAGCTTGTATTTCCTGAATTAGACTATAATAAGTATGTCTCTGAAGTTTTCGTCTCTATCCCCAAGACTTGTACTTCTTCAAGTAAGCTAGGAGAACAAGTGAAGAAAATGTAAGGGCGCGCGTCAGCTAGGCCGGGGCGGTTGTTACAATAAGGGGCAGCTCGGGCTCAGCCAGCATATAATTGAAAAGGAGGGTTGTGATTTCTTTTTCTTATTCTAGATGAATTCTGAACCTTTGGATTAAAAGTTAGATTAGTGGTTAATAGAGGTTTAGTGCCTAAGCTTAATGGAAACCACCCACGAAGTACACATGACTAAAAGCCCTAAAATAGTGGATGAGATCAAATGAGGAAAGATCATCTATTCCATAGGAAAGCAGATTACCCTCATGGAGATTAAAAGCCTAATAGAATAGGTGGTTTTCCTGTGTCCTGACTAAAAACGTTGGGTATGTTTGGTTTGGATTTGTAGAGTGACTTTGAAAAAAAAATTCTAAAAAATTGGTTTGGTTTGTAAATTTTTCAAAACAATTTCCAAAATCACTTTCTCTCTCTTACTTATCAATCAATCAATCACTTTTTCTCTCATACACATCTACTCAATTATAACAAAATATCAAATCATTCCAAACTTCTAAACTCTAAAACTGCTTTCAAAATCACAACCAAAAAAATCAAAAAAAATTCTAAATTCTCTTCCCAAAACAATTTTTAAAAACTACTCACCCAAAACCAAACCAAAATACCCAACGTTATGTTTAGGAAGTTGATTAGCATATTTTTGTAATTAATTTGATGGTTGTGAGAAAAAGAGTGAAATAATTATAGATTGAATGTAATATTTTGTCTTATTGACTATTTTAATCTATTTTATTTTTTAGTTGGTTATTTTAGCCCAACCTTCTTTCCAAACACCCCCTTTGTCTCACAAGCCTGGTTCCTAGCTTGCCCTGATCAGTCAGAGGAATATGATTCAACTAGTGTGAAATTCACCCTCACACAACATTGCTACCTGCCAAAAACCAAATATTGTAATCTTATCACAAAGGAACAGCAGTTAAATAGTTCAATTGAAACCCATTGTTAATATTAGATCATCTACGACATATGCAATTTGATAAAGGTATATCATCTACTCTCATAGAAATTAGCAACTTTCTTATTGCATGAACCTTCACCTTCTTAATACACCCAATGTTAAACAAGGCGGACACAAATGTGTAAGCTTTACAATTCTAAACAGGCAATCCTACAAGAGTAACACTCATTGGGAAATATGTTCAAATATTGGCACATAGAAAACAAAGCTTGCTGTGAGATATTTAAGGTAAAAGGAAAAAAAAAAAAAAAATACATTTTCAACACCCAAAGAAATTAAAATGTTGACATATTTTTTTGGCAATCACTGAAGGACTAATTATGCCCTCCTAATGCTCTTATTAGCAAATGATGAAGATTATCTAAGTTATGTTGTTCTTTCGAAGCCACTACCAATCTGCATATGTAACCATTCTGGCGATGAATCCTTAGCATAGTCCCTTGTAGCTTGTGAACTAAACGCCACTCCATTTGTGTTGAATGTTTGTTGAACAAACTGAAATACAATATTGTTTATTAACTCGTGATGAAATCAGAAGAGAGGAAAGGAAACTCCATATAAAAAAAATTCCATAACCTTATCCATCAACTTGCGTTCTACCAAATTGAAATAAACTTGATCCAAAAGCTACCACTGCCTTTGGTTGCAGGCACTTGTTTATATAGTATACATCTTATCAATAATATAATTTGTAATAGTTAAACAAATCAGTCTAGTGAACGGCCATCTACAAATTCATAGCACCCAATTTATGATGACAACGAATTCTTAAGCAAAAGAAAATGATACAAATTATAATGCATAGTTTTATGTATCAGAAAGGTGTCCTTATGACATTGTTGCTGATCCTCAATATATCTTGTTGGGAGGACACTGAGATCTAAATGAAAAACACAATACAAGCATGCGTTGGTGATCACACACACATACAGCAGACTGAACTGAACAAGGACAACGAAAAATGGTTCTCAATGGTTACTACAAAAAAGAAAATTAAAGATTGCGGGGAATAGGTTCACAGAGGAGTTGTAGTGGGAGTGATTTAGTTTAGTTTTGTTAGCTTCTTTCCATTCCCTTTTCATGTTCTCTTCGTCAGTTCTTGTCAACCACTTAATCTTTTTCTAGAAGTTGGGTCAGTTTGTGAGGAGGATATTTTTGCCTCTTCCTCTACTGTTCTCAATGATAATTAATTTTCTTTGCCGATCAAAACCAAAACACACAAAAAAAAAAAAAAAAAAATCCTCAATATACCTTGCTAGAAATGGAGAATTAAAACTTACGTCTTTTGATGGAAATCCTTCAATGCCAGGGTTCACTTTGGAATTAACCGCTTCAAGCTTCATTGATAAGAACTACAACAACCAGTAATTTGTTGTTCAAACCAGTAATTTGTTGTTCAAGTTCAAGTTCAATAGGGAACAATCTCGAATTTAATAGTGCAGTAAAACATGGTGAAGAGAAGCATGTGTACCTCAACCTGATGCTGCAGTGACTGGATATAATTAATTATCTCATCAAGGACCAATGCTTTGCCAATGACCTGAATCCAAATAAGCTTAATTACAAACAGTATTTTGACAAAAATATGAGGTTAATAGGTATAGATTCACAAGTTCGAACAGAGAGATAAAATAAGTGAGGGGACCTCTTCGCACTATTATACAACCACAAGCCCACATATAAATTTATTAGAAGCAATCGATTAGCTATTTAGCTTAAATGAAATTGATTATACAAGCGGTTATACAAGCAGTCCAATCCACTGTGGAGGAAAACATGGAGGCAGATACAGTTTTTAAGAGGAGTTCAGCGACTGGAGTAAGAATAATGAACAGAATCGTGCTTGTGAAAGAACGTATTTTATTTTCTTTTGGCAACAAACTAAGGTGTTTATACATTTGGAATTGATCTTTTCTTTTTCTTTTTTCCCTTTTCTTTTTTTTTTTCTTTTTTGAAAATTTACAGGGATGCTGAGCTGACAAGCATGTTTCACTTCAATCACCTTGTGATCTTCTATGTAGCAAACCAACCTTCTTTCTCTCCTTTGCCTACTAAGCTCGATCCATTTGTTACTAAGGTTAACAAATGAGATGAAAGTTTGATGCAACAGGGCAATATTATCAAATGTTTCCTCAAATCAAAGATCATGTCTGAGGTCTTAGACCAACTAAGAAATATGGATACTTCTAAGAAGGTGGCATGTCCATGTTAGAGACACTAACACTCATTGAAGACTTCTCGACTAGTGTCGGAAACTCATTCAGATGTGTCCTATTGATTTCTACCAAGAGTAGAAATCACTCTTGATCCCCCACGCCCTCCCCCATTGCTCCATCAAGGTCCCTCTTAAAATCAGATTAGTGAACCTTAAACAAAGCAAACGATCCATCAATCACTACAAATGGGGGGAAGAGAGGAACTCAAATTTCAAGCAAACGAGCAATGGTCTTGACTTTGTCATCGCCCTACAGCCTAACAAATATAAAAGATGAGAACATAATAATAACTATAAAAGGATGTTTAAAGGTCATGAAAGGGCACTTGTGAGCAGAATATAAAGATGACAAATGTTAGTAAATCCAACCGCCCACCCCTGTGAAAGGGCAGAATATAAAGATGGCAAATGTTAGTAAATCCAACCCCCCCACCCCTGATTCACGAAGATGACCACAAGATCCATGAGGACCACTGTGTGAATTGGAGCCACTTAGGGGGATTTTTTCATACAACATTGCATTGACATGATCCTTGAGTTCATAGACAGCTCTCAAGAGAGTTACTACCATGTCAAGGGATGTTAATAGTCTAAAGGTGTAATTTATCAAAAAAACAAAGTTAATAATCTAAAGGTGTAACGACAATCTTTGATGCATTTTTTTAACTAGAAATAGGCCCATCAATTTGCAACCAAACCAAAAAATTAACATCTTGTCAACTTACCATTTAATTAGCCATTAATTTAGTAAGTTAGGGTTCAGTCAAGACATCTTTTATGATACATTTTGCATGAAGAATTTGTCTATAGTACTTAGGGCTCAATTTTTAAAGTCAAATTTGGATTTACTATTTACAATGCGTACTTGTTTAACTAGGATTGCAAATTCTAGTCCAGTTAGAAGTTGTATATACCTTTCTCTTCTACAAAAAAGGAACTCTTAGTAATTGTTCTTATTGATTCAGAGAATCGTACAAGTCAGTCACAAGTAGCAGATTCTCACTCAATATTAGTGTGTTCTATTACTAGTCATTATTGTTCTTTAATGTATGTTAAATCTGATTCCGGTGAATTAGAGGGAACAATGACCCTAAATTTGTCGCCTGAGGGTCACCCAACGACTTAGGTCACATTCTGCCAATAAAAAACATAAGAGGAGGAGAAACCAAAAAAAGGAAGAATAGCTCCAAAAACATAAGCACCAATACTCTAATTTTTGTAAAGTAGATAATAAATCACATAGCATTTTGCAAGAACAATGTAATCTAATTCTTCTTTGCACCTGTTGTGGAGCCCTCTCGGCATTGAGATTGGTCTGGTTGCAGTTTCTCCTCCCCAGTTGCGTTACTTTAGCAATCAATCTCATTCAAAGCGGCTAGGTTGGTTTAGACATTTGTTAGAACTTATGCCTTGGCAAGTTTTAGACATGCGTTTTTGCTATGACTAGAAATGATTAAATAACTACTAAAATGCAACAATACATGAGAGAAAGAAGTCCAACTTAGGCTTCGTTTGGGATATGGGTTGGGTTTTTGACTTTTTGACTTTTTGGCTTTTTGGCTATTTTAGACTGGGTTGGACTTTTTGGCTTTTTTGACTTTTATGAGAGAAAAGATGAAATGATTATGGTTTAGAGGTAATATTTTGTCTTGTTGGCTTTTTAGCCTATTTTGGTTTTTTGTGACTATTTTAGCCTTGTAATCCCAAAAAATCAACATGCCAAACGAGAGCTTAGTATAAAATTTAACTATAAACAAACCTTCAAATATTAATGTTAAAAGATAGAGCTTGAGAAAAGCCAATGCACACCTTATTACAACCAGGGACCAGATCTTGTAGAATTTTCATTCTCTCGCTTATCTTTTCTCTTCTAGCCTGTCCACCAAACAACTTCAATTAGAAAAACTAGTACGAAGTTCTAGAATTTGGTGATTAATTAACCATCAATTAGCAACTCAGTGCCACAATTATGATTAGAAAGAAATTATATTGACTTGGGTACATAAATTATTGTCATTGTAGTTGGTTGCTTCAAAAATTATTTCAGAGTTGAAGGGTTCAAATCAAAGTAGATTACTCTTTCTGCTAGACTATGGCTATCAGTAGCTTGGCCCCTTCTTGCTCGTACGTGGATGTAATCTTGCTTCGGTGGCTCATGCGTTTTTGTGTTCTGCTCTGTTGGCTTGCTCGAATTTGCTTCGGCTTTAGCTTTGTAATCAAAATTCTCATCTCTAGATCTCTCCGTCTTAATGCGTTTACCATCACACTCATTCTGTTCAATTGATCCAAAATCATCACTGTTAGACTTCTAAACTCCTTTAGTACGTAAATGAGGTGAAATTCACTACTACGAATGATCCAAATCAAAATTCTATTTCATTCTAATATTTGTTTATCATTCCATATAGATCACCAAGCAGATCACTATTACATAAGATCATTTACAAACCAAAAAAGAGCTACTTTAAAATCAATGAAAACAAAACTTGCTAAATAGAAAAGTAAACATTTATACAAATACATAACGTGCATATATCAAGATACATATATCGCAGTACCGTGATGATGTCATTGCCAATGCTCGTCGAGACAAGCTTGGCGGACTCATTCTCGGGAGGAGATTCATCACGCCGCTTCCTTGAACCGCCACTCCGAGCCAATCTGTGATCCAGAACCATCGGATCATTGCCAGAAACTTCGCGATTCACGCTCGCATTCTCAAATTGATCCAAACTCTGCCCAAACCGCACCTTCATCAAGTCCAATGCACCTCCCGACTCACCGCCGTTGATTCTAAACGGCCAGATCTCGGCCAAATTGTACGGCGCCGCACTCGCACTCTGAAACGCATCGCCGTTGATCATCGCCGGCTGATCCATCTGAAGATTCTCAAAATCACATCCGATTCGAATCCAAATTTATCTTCAATGTTATTCAAAGCTCATGAATTAGCTGCAAATCAAAGAGAACCATTGCCATAGTTCAATTTCAAAGTGTGCATTTGAAGATCGATAACAAGTGGAGAGAGAGAGAGAGAGGAGGGGCAGCTGTGTGATCTGCTTCGACACTGGGGACTGATTGTTGGCGCGCACTGTACACACTACCACCACCAGTATTCACTGGAGAATGACCTCGGGAGTTTAAAAGAAGTGACTTTGAGTGAGGTTTTCTCGGCGGGTCCACTGTTTGTGTGATGACCAACTGTTTTACTCTGAACTCTCACGAGTACAACTGCCTTATTCTTTCACCGTTCGATCAGTTTAAAGTAACATTCAAAAGGAATTTTATGGAATCGACGGTCGTGGTGGTAAGATAAACGTGCGCCATGCATGGATGCGAATATCATTTGTCGTAAATGCTGGGTTGTTGGAGTCACGTAATGAGCTAGCTAGCTCGCAAGTACAAATTCAATGTACAAAAATGAGAGCGATTTTTGGACAGATGGAAAGGTTCGTTTGGTTTAATTTAAAATTATGATTTGAGTCTATACTTATGTTTTGAATTTTGAATTTATAAATGAAAAATGTTTTGTAACTCGAAAAATTTTTTCCTAAATCTCTCGAATTATTGAAACGACATCATTTTTTTTTTTTTCTTTTCTCAGAGTCGACTCCATTTGAGCCTTTAATCTCTTCTCTCTCTACTCACTCTCTCCTAGAGCCCTTAATCTCTTCCAAATCCTCTCATCAACTACGGGTGGACTCGCATAACAGATCTGGGTGCTACGGGTGTGGATTCGACAATGTCCAATAGCAGCAAAAAAAGGTACCAGAAGCAAAGGTAAACCCATAATCGCAAGTGTAAGCTTAATTTGGGATTTTGGTTTTGGCTTGAATATGTAGAACATGATTTGTCAATAAATGATTATTAGGGTTATGATTGTTTGTTAAGGTTTGGGCATTATGGGTTTTGCTTTCATTTTTTGATTGTTATATTGAATGTGTCATTCAGTTGTGTAAAAACATGGTGGAATGTTAACATGGTAAATGCTACCGAAATGTATGAAAATCTGTTAACATTAATGATTGTTAGGGTTATGTTGATTGTTATGTTGAATGTGTAGTCTAATAACATTAATGATTGTTAGGGTTATGTTGATCGTCTAGATCAGCCATCCCAACTGATAACTTTTGAAAATTAGATTAGTCTAATAAATTACTTTAGAATTGATTGTAAACTAAATTTAGCTTACACTTGATTGTAAGGCTGGGAATGATGGGATTTTAGCATGGTTGCCTCTATGGCTGGCAGATTTGAGGAGCAATCTTTTTACAAAATGTTGGCAAGAATCTGAGAGAGTTGGTTAATTGGAAAAGGGTTTGGCATATGTAAACCATTATCGATGGTGTCCTTTTTTGTGTTGAAGGTGTCTTATGAGATACTCATATAATTATTTGGTTAGAAGTTGCATTTTCTTGTATAGGCGTATAATGAGAAACTTGTGGTTGACTTTACGGGCATGATTTGGCAATTTCTGCATAATTGGTGGTGTTATTTGTGTAAAGAGTAATGGATTTGTGGTTGACTTTACGGGTATGATTCATTCCATTTGGTTATTCACAATATTCTTTGGCTTCCACTTCTAGTGAAGATTAGGAATTGTGTTCTATATCACTAGAGAACTTGGGGAGAAGAAACTGTCTAATTTTGGATATTCTTCATTCTGTTTTCTGGCCTCCTAGGATTTGAAGTTCTCCCATTGTTTAAATATTCTGATATTGTGTGCGACATAGGTGATTCACAGGACTAGCTTGTCTTCTTGTCTTCTCACAAAACCCACTGTTGCATGATATAATAAAGTTCCACACAAATTTGTCCTTATTTGTTTTAGACTGAAGTATTCACTCTGTAGTTAAGGTTCTGTCATTCTTGACTTACCTGATGCCATATAACATTTATGTTCTGTTTGTGGGTTCATGCTTATAGTTGCTGCTACCCAACAGACGAACCTATAACATTTATGTTCCATTTTGTATGCAGATTACAAAATGGCTTCTTCCTCTAGTAATAATAACAACATAAGATTGAATCCAAGATTGTGTGATTGTGGGAGAACAGCTGCCATGCACATTGTCCGAACCAATCAGAATGGAAATAAAAGGCGTGTGTACTTTGTGTGTCTATCGAGATATGTAAGCAGTATTGAATTTGTTTGCAAATTTATTACCCTGATTTGATTAACTGATTGTCATGCATTGTAGATTAGTAAGGAACACTACAATTACTTCAAGTTCCCAGATGATGATGACGACGACGTGATCTCTAATGCTGCACCTCGTACATCTATAAGAAACGAAGAATTTAACGATCTAAGCACAAGGGTTTATGAGATGGATAATGAATTTCAAGAGCATGCTAGAAGGCTTCGAAGGATGGAGAAGAAATTGAATGTCGTGCTTTATGTCATTGTATTTTGTATTGTTTTCTATTTTATAATGTAAATTACTGAGTTCATAGCTGTTAGGGAATTTGATGGATGTACTTATGGATGGAATGGATTTTATGGATGTACTTATGGATTGAATGGACTTGAATGGACTTCTATTTTTAAATATTGTTGATAGGTTGAAGTTCTTGTTGAATTTCTTGAATGGACTTCTATGGATTGAATGGACTTGTTGATAGTTCAATACCAGACATGTTGAATTTATTGAATTTCTATAATGGACTTGTTGAATTATGATGTCAAGGTGAAGGAGCTAAGTGGAGACCAGATTATAGAATTACATGTTTTTTAGACTAGTCCAGTGTGTGTGTTGCTCATTTTATAGAATTACATGCTTCTAGCTCTTCTAACTCCTTGCTGTCATAAAGGTTAGAATGTTGCTCATTCTTGATATTGTTCCATGGAATAACAAAACTATGTTTAAAAATTTCAATTTTTATGTGAGAATCATGCATCATAGGCCCAGAAAGATATATGGTGTGTTGTTTTGTTGAAGAGCTAGGCATAAACCATCAAACCAACATTCTACAGGAGTAACACTGTAGCAGTTATGGAAATTACCATGTCAGTGATATTACTTGCCCAAACCCAGCTGATAATTAACCAGACCAAGCAATGCCAAAACTCAGCCGGTAAACCTATATGAGCAATGAAAAACATTTCAAATAAACAAGAGCTAAATGCTTCTATTGTAACACATAACTGATAACCAGATCCTCTTAAATCACAACAAAACAACAAGACCAAAACCCAAGTCCAGTGCAAAAGAGTATCAAAAAAAACAAACCCAATTGCAAAACCATGCCGTCAATTCAACCCAAGTTTTCTTTCTAGTCTTTACACTTTACTAGCCACTGAAAACACAAACATCACAGCAAAACCCAACAAGAGAGACTTTCATTCACAACGTTCAACCTGCAATTCTGGCATTACAACACAACAACAAACATAGAGAGAAATGTTGTAGCAAAGCCAGAAATGCATTATATTGAAATGTAGAGTCATTAATTCTATTACATAAGCACAGACCTAAACAAAACCCAAAGCCTCATTCTACATCAACCTACTTCATCTGCTACTTCATCATTCTGCTACTTCATCATTCTGCATCAACAGTGCTACTTCATCTGTTACATCATTCTGCTGCATCATTCTGCATCAACCTGCATCATTCTGTATCAACCTGTTTCATTCTGCAGTGCTGCTTTATTCTAGACTACTCAGTTCTGCTTCAGTTCTGCACTTCCTTTCTGCACTTCATTCTGCTTCAGTTCTGCACTTCCGTTCTGCACTTCATTCTGCTTCAGTTCTGCACTTCATTCTGGATTGATCAATTCTGCTTCATTCTGGACTAATCATTTCTGCACTTCATTTCTGTACTTCATTCTGCTGTGCAAAATCTGTTGAATCAATTATAATCTGAACATAATCTATTCAAAACTAAATCAAACAATCAACCTGTCATTTGAAGGGGGAAACAAAGGAAAAAACACATGAAAAAAACACACATAATCTGTATCAAAATAACCTGTTCACGGATTCATCAGTATGAAAACAACATCAGAAAACACAATGGGAATCCAACAACATAGGACTTGTGCAAAATCTGTTCAAAATAACCTGTTCACAAATTCATCAAAATAACCTCTGCAAAATCTGTTCAAAATAACCTGTTCAAAATAAATGCACAGATTCATCAAATAACCTGTTAAAAATGTAACATGTTCACAGATTCATCATAACATGTTCAAAATATAACCTGTTAACATATTCATCATAACCTGTGCAGAATCTGTGAAGTACATAGGTTTACAAAATCTGTTCAAAAACTTCACAGAATCTGTTCAGATCTGTTCATGATCCAATAAGACCTGTACAGAATCTGTAAAGTACATAAATTTACAAAATCTGTTCAAAAACTTCACAACATCTGTTCAGATATGTTCATGATCAAATAAAACCTATGCACAATCTGTGAAGTATATGAGTTTACAAAATCAGTTCAAAAACTAAAAAAAAAGGAGCGTTCGGATCCACATCTATATTCAAGTCCATAAAATTTTAACCATCTATATTCGCCATTCCTGATTCACTGGAAGATGAGCTTCCAATTTTGTCAACCATTTGCAATGCACTCTCTTGTGTCCCATCCATACAAGGAAAATAGTAGGATTGATAAGTTCAAACATAATGTAATAAATACCATACAAAATATTCAACATGGACCATAAAACACATACCCGATCGTATGTATTGTCTTCCATGGCGTCCGTACAACCGAAATTCAACTTATAGTAACACACATTGGTGAAAAAGTTTGAAAAAAATAAATTCTGAAATTTACATACAAGCAGAAAATAAAAAATGTATTTGGACTTTTGGTGCCTTTTTATTCTTTCCCTTCAACCGATTCACTATTTCATCTACCTTGCTCATCTTCCATTTCGTACATGGACGGCCTCTTCGGCGAGCAACCAAAGGACTAAACACCTTGAGAGTAGTACTAGAAGGTGACACATTACTACTTCAAGGTGGGACAGTACTACTAGAAGGTGGCACATTACTCGCACAACCAGATTCATCTTTTCTTACTCTTTCCTTGATTTCTCTTAACCCAAGTTGAATGGCTTTGTGTTTACCATCATCGTTGGAAGTAATTTCTATAATTTCATCCAGTGTCTTGTGGTAGTTATCATGTACCTTTGCATTAAGGGCAGC